TCCATCATCCTCCTAAAGAACAGGCACCACCCTGGAATGGCTAGGCTGATGAACCTTACGTATCTTTGCCCTATCATGTTGTACTTTGTAAGCAACCTTGCTCATCATACCAAACTGTAAAACAAGAATCATCTGTTGCCTACCACAGACCAGCAACATCAAGACATTAACCTGCTGCAGTCTTTGCAGAAGTCAAAGTAGCTAAGAAAGATGCAACTCACATAGACACTGGAAGAAACAGCCTTTTATTCGCGCAAAGAGATGGACAAAGGTCAACTTCAATAGTAAAAGTGTTGGTCCCCTAGCGCGAGTGCCTCTCACCATGAAATTGATAGAGGTGAAGATCACCCCTTCCCACCAGTAACATACATAAAGCATTGAGATTGGTCAGACGTCACGTGACATACATACTTTAAGCAGAATAAAAAAGCATGCACTTATGCACCATAAGGGTCAGTATCACTACCCTTCAGAACACCTGTTTTATCTTTTGTTTTAATCATCAAAGCTGATGAAGTCCACCTCTTCCAATCAAAGCCCTCACTTGTATTCTGGAAAGGATCTCCTCTTCTGTTCCCAAGGATTTTGTTCCTATAAGTTTTGCCTCCATTTTCTCATAAAACTTCCCCCCTACTAAATCATTCCTATAAGTTTATAAACATGCCCTAATAGACCCAATTTACAGAAGCACTCTCTTGGCTTATGTCCTCTCTTACTGAATGACCCATTTCTGCCTACTCACCTCATTCTCTCCTCAATTCACAACTGGCCTTCTACTGTGTGCTACTCCACTGAGATTGTGTTGATAAGATCACTAGTGATGTTCATGTTGCCAAACCATGTCATTTCTGTTATTTTACTTGATCTTTCAGGAGCATTACACCCAACTCCCTGAAACTTCATTTCAGAGATCGCATGCTCCACTTTTCCCTTCGTGGGGTCTCCCTTGCTGGTACTTCCTACTGGAACGCTAAAGTTTGTAGTGCTATAACGCCTTGTCCTATATTTTCTCCTCTTTATTTATACTCTTTCCCTGATGACCTCACTCAGTATCATGCTCGAAATACCTTACTCATGCCAATGACACTCAAGCCCTGACCTCTCTTCTGAAAGTCAGAATCAAGTATCAAGCTGCCTCCTTGAAGTTTCCATGTATACATGATTTCCTCCTCTAATTTAGCTATTTAATGTCATTGTTCCATGAACTTAATACTTTACTATTTCAAGGAATATTCAAATATTCTTCTATTCAGTTGTTTGTCCTATATCAAACCTCAGTTACTAAGCATTCGGTTTTGATACTTAAAAAGAACATTATACTAAGAGATAGTATTCTTCAATTATTTTTGAAGGCTGGGTTGTTTTTATTTTCTGCTTTGGAATAAGTGCTTACAGTACTTATAAGTGCTTGCAGTACTTATGTAACAAACATATTTCTCCCCATGATACAGCAAAAAGCTGTGATACTGAACTTTTATTTCATATGTCCATTATCTGACCAGAACTGTTAAGTGTACTGTGTGCATTGGATCATGTAATCTACTAGAGACTAATGCATGGTCTCTGCACACACTATTGCACTAATTCCAGGCCACAGCTATTGGCTTTTTTCTTCTCCACACATATCTATTAGACACATGGCTTCATTCATATTTTATGTTTAGCAAATGATTCTTCTCTAGTTCGTTTTTATTCGACTTTAGTTATACATTTCTGATGGTTCACTGGACTAAGGTAACTAAATGTTCTGCCCAAAATTTAATACAACCGAAACTGAATCTTCTTCTCCCTGCTGCTAAATCAGTAGCAACTTCACTCATCCTGACTTCTCCCATCCTGTCCATGGGACTGCCATTTTCTTTGCTGCCCAGCCGCTCTACATATCAATAATTCATCATCACATCCAACTATTTCTTCCTTATCCCAGCAGTAGCATCCCTGATGACATGATTATGAGTTTACTATCAGAAAGATTATGGAATGTTAATTAACCAAGACTCTTTGCCACATTTCCCTAGTCTCTAGTAGATTACATGATCCAATGTACGCAAAAGGTAACAGCACCTAAGTTCTCGCCATATGTTGTTCTCTCCCTTGCCTTCCATTTCCAGAAGTGAAGCAGTGTCCTTCACAGTATCCTACCCAAATGACTGCACTAATTTCTAAACTCTGCTTTTATCATTCCCTTCAAACATTTCCAAACACACTATTTGGTTCACATTACGATCCTATCCAAACATCTTTGATGTCTAATTTTTAAAGGCAGTGTTAGACAGCACTGTCCCAAATGTGTGTTTAAAGTGTTGATTCCTGATCCCACTTTGGAGATTCAGCTTTAGTAGTTCCAGATTGGGACCTAGAAATGTGATGTTTTAGCTCTCCAAGTAATTCAACTGGTAACTTAGGGTAGGGAGTAGTTATTCAATACTACTTTTACCAGGTAATTTTGAGCATCTTCAGCACAACATTAATTCATAGATAACAAAAAATAACAGTTCTCAGTTTCAGATATAAACTGATATAATATCCACATCCTAGCTATTCATGCTTTTCAATCAGCAAAGCACACTTCATAACACAGTCTTTTTGTGGGAATGCTAAGAAGTAGGAACAGTAAGTAATATTAACCACACTTCTAGAATTTTTGTAAATCTTACAAATTCATTAAAACTTATTCCAGCACTGTCTGAAATGGTGAAAATTTAGAAATTGGTGAAATAAATTATGATGAATCCACTGAATATTACACAGATATCAAAAAGAATAAGTTAAACAGCATGTACTAATAGAGATATCTGCTATATTAATGAAAGGGCAAGGCACTTTGCAGAAAAGTACATAGATCTCATTTTTTTAAGATTTATTTTATTTATTTATGCATACAAGAACTGGGCTGTAGGCCAGAGATGGGCAAAGGGCAGTGAGAGGATTCACTAGAAACATAATGGGGAACAGAACTGGCAGGTCTACTGACATACACTGCTGAGGGGGGCAGTGGATAAGACAGGAGAGGTCTGCTGTGCCATGTGGGTTAATGCCCTGGCCAGGGATCCAACTCGTGCCACAATAGCTAGCCATAGCTTAATAGTGCTGAGACAACCCCTGCACCACCAGGAATGCCCAGATCTCATTTTTATGTGTAAAATATATGTACACCTATATGTACATGAGTAGAAAGTTTCAAAAACTATTCACTGCGGGAAAGCTGGTGAGACGACTCCCAGAAAAGGAACTTTTATTTTGCTTTTTATCCTTTTGCACTATTCTAGTTTTTTACTATGAACAACTTGCAAATTTACATTGTACTTTACAAAATATTTTAAAATCTACATGATGCCCGGACAAGCAAATACTTAAGCATTTAGGTTCCTATTATAGAACTTAAATAATTTAATATAAATTAAGTCTTCATTTTCATTTTCTAAATGTCATTGCATTTGTTCATTAATTATGGACAACCTACTTCGGGCCATGCACTGTTTTAAGGCAGAAAGTAAACAGTGATGTTCAAAGCTATGTTCCCCTCACACATGTGGATGACAGTGAAAGGCACACGTACCGTTCTGATGAATGGCAAAGACTATGACATAAAGAAAGACCTGGGTATTCAAATGCTGAAATGTCCAAACGTCGTCGTGTGTGCTAGGGCATTCGGGCTAGCTATCAAACGCCATGTGTCTCCTGCATTCACTATTATAACCTCAACACAATTAAAAACAAGGCTTTTCAGTGGCGTAACCTTAGGCAAATTACTCATCCGCTTCATCAAGCCTCCGTTTTCTCCCGCCAAACGGCGTACAGTATTTACCTCTCGGGTTTGCTAGCTGGGGAGAACTGTGTGGGCGGCCGGCGAGGCGCAAGCGCGGCCAGGCTGGGCGGCTCCAGGAGGAAGGCCCTGAGTTCTGTCAGTGCGCACCCTTTCGCGGACTTTT